GTCTAGACAGCCACCCGCACAGCCGCGAAACGGCTGACTCTCCCGGTCGGGGGTGCGCTGGGGGTCCCCCCGTTTTTGCGGTCTGTGTTACCTACGCGGGAGCTGAGATGATTCGGGGTACATCTGGGGAGGCTGGCCTCGGGCGTGGGGAGCAGGACTGGCCGACCCTGAGCCCGCCCGGCAGGTGCTCCAGGCTGGCCCTCCAGCCTCGCCCCCGGGCCAGGTGCTTGGCTGCTGTGGATGGAGATGAGAGCTGCCTCCCTGCGGCCCAGGGACTGGGCGGGACTGTGAGAGACCAGTACCTGCCATCAGCAGCTCAGGGGCCCGCAGGTCAGCATCCCTCACATAGGGACCCACCCCCCACGTGCCCGTCATGGCTCAGAGTTCACCCTGAGCACGGCTGGTCGCCTGTGGCTGGTAGAGAGCAAGGCTGGAGGGTGTGCATGCCGGCCACACAGCATGTTCTAGCCGTTCCTCACCTTCAGACGCGCGAACCTCACAGACCATCCTCTGCCTTCTTCTCCCTCTGTGTCTCTCTCTGCCCCCCTCCCCTGCCTTCCTCTCTCCCTCCCTGTGCCTCCCATCTCTCTCTAATCGCAGCCCATGCATACACATACGCATGCTGCACATCACACACGGTAATGACCACCTGCTTCTTCTGTGGGAACACGGAGAGTTCAGGCGACAGAAACGCTTCCTCACGAGCGTTTGTTGATGTTGAGGAGAAAGAGGCCATGGATTCCACGCGGCACACGTCTCCCAGGAGACTGCCTGCGGGGCGTCCGCATGGCCGGGGTGGCCATCGAGGACTGAGACCTGGGCATGGTGCACCGGGGTTCCCTGGGGACAGCCCGGCGTGACCTGTGCCCCAGCCCCCCTGGCTCTGTTCCCACCGCACAGCCCCAGCCTCCTCAGCCGCCCCGTGCGCGCCCCGTGCCGTCGCAGGCGGAGGGAGGAGGGCTGTCCGCAGCCTGCGTTCCTCTCCCCAGGTGAAGTGCTACCACAAGAAGTACCGCTCGGCCACCCGCGACGTCATCTTCCGCCTGCAGTTCCATACGGGCGCCGTGCAGGGCTGCAGCCTGGTGTTCGGGAAGCAGGACCTGGACAGCGCCTGCCAAGGTGAGGCCCGCAGCCGGCGGCGGACGGTGCGGAGCTGCCGCAGGTGCCCGTGGGACTCTCTCTTCGCCCTGCCCCTCCCCTAACGACCCGATGGACCAAACTGTGACCGGCGCCAGGAAGGACTGACAGCTGACAGCCCAGGTGTTCTAGAGAAGCAGCGAGCACCAACGTGTCCGTGCCGGACGCTGGGGCGGCTCTGGGCTGCGTGTCCTGGCCGGGTGGGGGAACACCGGCCCCCGTGCCCCATCCCTCACCCCGCGTGCCGCTGACGACGTTGCTCTCTGTTGCAGACGATCGCTTTCCTGCCAGCGGGAAGATCGAGCTGGTGTTCTCGGCCTCCCCCGAGAGGATCCAAGGTGGGTGCAGGGTGGGGCTGGCCTGCGGGGGCTGGTATGGGGTCCCTGGATGTCGCCCACCTTTGCCCATGTTTGGAAATTTTCATGATGTAGGTTTTTTTTATTTGTTGTGAGTTTTTTTTAAAAACTCTGACCTGCAGATATTTTTTCCATTGAGTTCTAGAGAGAGTGAAGGGAGGGGGAGACACAGAGAGAGAAACATCAATGTGAGAGACACACATCGATCAGTTGCCTCTGATCGGCCCGGGAACCAGCCTGCAACCCAGGTGCGTGCCCTTGATCGGAATCGAACCTGCGACCCTTCAGTCCCTGGCTGATGCTGTACCCACTGAGCCACACAGTGCAGGCTCCTGATACAGGTCTTCATCGTAGGCTATTGGCGGCGAGGACGGGCCACGTCCTGTCCCCTAAGTTCTGTCCGTCCTCCTGGGGGCGGTTACGCCAAATGTTTACGCTTCTCCTTACCGAGCAGCCGATGTTTCTAAAGAAGGTGACACGTTCTGCAGTCGCAAACACTTGTGCTTAAAGTAGATTCTCCTGCTTCTGAAAATGCGCTGGAAGAGCCACCAGCCTTCATCCTCGGGCTTATGGCTCGTTCCCACCTGAGATCCCTGCGTGTGGCCTCTCGACCGCGTGCACTCGCTGTGTGAGCTGGTCGCCCTCCTGGCTCAGCCCCCAGCAGCCAGGCCACACGCGTGGGCCGAGGGCCGCACCCGCCTCTCCTTCCTGCAGGGCCGTTGCGGTGACGTGTCTGGGTCGGTGGGTGCTCGCGTGGCGATGCCAGGCCTGGAGGGCAGGGCTGACCCGGTGCCCAGCCCCAGAGCCGCCAGCTCGGCTGACTGATCCGTGTCCCCGCCCCCTGCAGGCTGTGAGCATTTCCGCAGCAACCATGGCGTGAGCGTGGACTTCAACACGGCCGACCCGCTGATCCGCTGGGACTCCTACGAGAACCTGGGAGCTGACGGGGAAGGTGCGTCTGGGGGTCTGGCATCATTGCTACACGTTGGGTCAGGACGGTCCCCGAGGGGCCGGGAGGCTGGGAACCCCACCTTCTGTGTAGAGAGCAGTACCCCGCCCTTAGGCGTTTGGGGTGCTTGCGAGATCAGGCTTGGCGACTGGGTCAGGCTCTCGGGGGGGCTGTGATGGGCGGAGGCCAGTCGGTGAGACGACCACCTGGGAGCTTCCCTGCCGATGGTGTAGCCGCCTGTCGCCAGGGAAGCTCCCCGCCCCATCCCTTCCCGTTGCACACGCAGCGTCAGGGCCGGGGCGGGCGCCCGCGGCAGCAGGCCTTCCAGTTTGTTTCTGTGTCGCTGCCGGCCTGGGCTCGGGGCTGCGTCACGTCTGTTCGTGAGCCCCTCTTCCCACACCTGCTCTCCGTTCACCTCGGATGCGCACTCTGGTTGGGCCTCTGTGAAGGAGGGAAGGGGTGACGACGGGGAGAGGCCACGGCGGCGACTGATGTCAGGGCACAGAGTCTCCTGGGCTCCTGAGAACTCGGGGGTTCATCTCTCTCAACCACCGAGCGAGAACCAGACCCTGGTGACGGGCGGCCCAGGCCTCCCTGCAGGTGCACTTCCTCCCGAGAGGTGGCCCAGGCCTCCCTGCAGGTGCACTTCCTCCTTGTGGGGCCCAGGCCTCCCTGCAGGTGCACTTCCTCCCGAGAGGTGGCCCAGGCCTCCCTGCAGGTGCACTTCCTCCCGAGAGGTGGCCCAGGCCTCCCTGCAGGTGCACTTCCTCCCGAGAGGTGGCCCAGGCCTCCCTGCAGGTGCACTTCCTCCTTGTGGGGCTCAGACATCTGGCAGGAAAGAGCGCCACCTTTAAATATGTGATACGTGGAACCAGGAGCTGAGAGAGAAGGGCCGGGGTGCCCGTGCTGTGTGCCCCCACACAGCCCGCCCCTCCCGTCGTGGGTGCAGGTTCTCTCACCTCCCTCTTGTCTCAGCCCAGGTCTGGGCCTTCCTCCGAACGTGTGCAGAGCGAGCAGACCCAGGGCTCGGGGAGGGAAAGCTGCCCGTTATGGGGTGGGGGAGGGAATTGTGAGGGGAACGCCGCTTCGGGGTGACAGCCTCCCCCGTGGGACCTCGCAGGGCCCCGGAGAGGGAGGCGGAGGCCGCGTCCTGGCTGGTGTTCAGAGGAGGCAGTGGTTGCAGAAGCTGGCCCAGGACCCGCGCTTGGCACTGCCTGGCGGGGCGGGCGGGGGAGGCCCGGTGCCTGGCCCTGCCTTGAGGAGCTTTTCTCCGCCTCCTCGGCCTCCAGGGTTCAAATTTCACCAACCCCGAGTGCATGGAGCCCCACCTCCTGTTTACATTGCCCGGCCTTTTGGGGAGTCGAAGTCCCTGCTCAGCCAACAGGCTCCTCCACCTCCTGTGCTCCTGCTCGCGGGGGAGGGAGGCGGTGCTGGGTGGGGGGTGCGGAGGCCTGCCCTTGGGAGCCACGCCCCCCAGGATGCTGCTCCTCTGGGCTGGAGCTTTCTTCCCGGAAAAGGAAAAGCGGGTCCCACATAGACTGAAGGGGCTGCTGGGCGGTGTGGACGGTAGGCCGGCGTGTGCCTGTGTGCGTGTGTGCGTGGCTGTGTGCATGCATGTATGTGCCTGGGTGTGGGTGGGTGGCTTCTGCAAAGCCCCTGGCACCGGGACAGCCATTCTGCCTGGGGCGCAACAGACAGAGCGTCCGAGGCCGGAGATGGTGGCGGTGGGCGCGGAGGAGGCTGGGAGCTGAGTGACAGCCTGGGGTTTCTATGGCGGGAGGGGCCGTGCCGCCCCCTCGGAGACTTGGTTCTCCGTCAGTAGTGTGACTGCTGCCTCGCGGGATGGAAGGTTGGAGGCGGGCGTGTCTGGCCTGGCTGCACTGCAGAGGCTGCCAGGCCGGTGCCCTGGGCAGGCCAGCAGGTTGGGGCATGGGAGAGGGGCCGCGCTGGCCCCCCCAGCTGCCTC